TTCATCCAACTGTCATCGACGAAGGGATTCCTTTATAAGGGTGTGAAGGTTAGCAGTGATTCTGGTAACCGCCTGGGTTTTAATAAGGCGAACTATAATAATATGCTTAATGGCATACTTGGTGATTTTAATCGCCTTTGCCACGAATGACAATTTGCTGTGTGCCATGAATAGGTCTGTACCGTTTAAATTAATACATGGTGATAAGCTCACATGTCCCCGATGGCCCAGTAAGCATTTGAAAACGATTCGTAATAAAAAACAAGGTTGTTTAAAAAATTCAAGCGGTTGTATACATGGTTGTATAAAGTACTCAAATGTAAGACGTGAATTCAATTCTGCTATTCAATATATTTACGAGATATTAAGGGTATATTGTTTACCGATCCTAAAAGCACACAAGTTCGTAAATGCTGAATGGCAAATGACGAGATTCCCCTTTCTTATGGGTTAGGAGAATTGTAAATCATCTGATAGGTACGCTATTGCCAATTCTTTGTAAAGTTTTTTGAAAAGTCGTGTAGGAATGGTAATGTATTTATGGGTAACTGTCCGAAATGAAATTAAACAATGGGATGTTTTTGGTTCAGTTGTTAGAAGCGAAGGCGAGGTCATCAATGAAATGATAAATTTAAAGATCTCTTATTCTCCGGGCTGTAATCCTGAAGTCATACGTACACATTACTCCCTCAAACTATACAACCCACTTACTTTGTAATAAAAGCCTCAAAGAAGACCAAATTCTAGCTACTTGGGAGGATAATTATATCGTACCTCTTTATAAAACAAGGTTCAGACCAAAATTAGTGCAATACCAAAGCATTTGAAATGTTGAGGAGTGAAAAACTCAATTAATTTGATTATAACTGTTGTGCAACTTGAATTTGTTAGCGATACTTCAACTTCTACTAACCTCCTTGTAATATTTATCAAGATTTTGCTAACCTTAAACAAATTGAGGTTATTCACATGGCTCTATGAAAAAATTTTGACAGGACTGATCAGTCTGTCCTTCTTTATAAATTATGTAAAATCCGGTTTCCTAGCAGCCTAGTGGACTGGCTTCATTCGTATCTAAAGCAATTTCTACGGGATAATGCAACAATTTCGTGGAGAATTCATGTATCTTCAGGGACTCCTCAGGAAATTTATCTGAGTCCCTTTCAAATTACTTATGAATGATTAACCGACGACTATTAAACAATCTCACATTCTAATGACGAAAAAAGAAATTGTCCGCTCCGTTGACTTAACTGAAAATGTTGAACTGTACAAGTTGGGCTTAAGCTCATTGTACCGTTGTTATGCCACTATTGGCCTGTCACTGAATCTAAATAAATATAGCAAACTTCCATTTGCTTGGTGTAACCAACTCCCTTCGCGTTATGTTATTGATAACTACGAGTTGGTTAACGTGCAATTCTTTAGTAATCTTGGTGCTTTACTGAACCCTAAGTTGGTTTTTTACCTTCATATTATGCCCTTCGTTAGTAAGGAGAAGTCGTTATTGGGTTTTAAGCAACGTTGGGCTAAGAAATGTAACGGTCCGTATGCTAATAAACGTCTATATGCAACGCATGGCAAACCTGTGGTAGACTACTCGTGCATGACGTGGTCACCTTAATCGTTCTGTCGTGAAGTTCCATCCTATTCCCACAAATGATATATGTCGAGGTATTTTGGTTAGAATTTATGTATTGGTTAATATTACACACAATTATTAACATTTAACAATACATTATTTTTCACAAATTCAAACTATTTTGCTTAAGAACTTTCCGTTTCGATTTTGTTTTTTAATTAAAGTTTTGGTTTTGGATATATAGTAACTACGGGCTAAGTCAATGAGATATACCTTATATGTTCAAATTAACAAAAATGTATACAACTTCAGTGTTTATATCAGATCAGATTTAAAGGCATGACCTTGCATTTTGAACTAACTAAAGTTTAAAGTTTGTTAATAAAATAATATATCTATTTGCTCATCGCGATAGTTGAGTACCAACTAAACGAACTATATCTTTTTGTTTTTACATTTTTACTAACGCTGCTTTTTCACCTTTTAAATTGAATTCTTTCAAATGCTCTTATACTAACGTAAAACGTGAGCTATACAGCTTCTGCCTAATTTGACAGTTATAAGAACTGTTATTCATAAGTGTAAGAAGAAGCGGAAATCGTCAACTAGTACTGAATGCTACCGTAAATGTGAAGTAGAATCAGTGGAAAAACGAAAGTGTAAACTAATTTTTGGATACGCGATTACCCACAAAGTGGATTGGTTGACTTTATGGAATCGAATACTTATTCCCACAATGCATTTGGCTGTGCAATGAATATTATTGGATTTCTTTTTTGGCCAAACAGTGTAAAATACTCAGCCATTCTACCTACAATGTATTTATTGATAACATAATTTGACTATTTATTAATATTTACTAATAATACCGAAAACGAAGGCTAAGTTTTTCATACATAATCTTTTAAACAAGTGTCGTCTTGAATGAAAGCGAAGACTTTGGTTTACTTTGTTTTTTGTACAATTTCACTACATTTTTGGCTGCTATCATCAGTTCAACGAATAAAGCAGAAAAAGGAATCAAACTTAGGTTTGGATTTCTTTGTGGCTGTCAAAACAATTGCCAGAAAGTAAAATAACAATAGTAATATGTCGCAAACATGCATCAACCAAATAGCGTAAGTGCAAATAGATTGCCACATGAGAAAAATTGTATAAGAAACGGGCAATTTGTTTTTAGTTTCGCAGACTCCTTTCGCTTTACAACACACTGAAGATTTGTGCAAGATAATATAAAAATTTTTATTGAGAATTGTTATGGAATTCTTAGGTTCCATTATCTTAATACGAATCATATAAAATATATAAAAAACTACGTCAAATTTCTTCGTAGACCATTATTACTGAAATTTATTGAATAATTTGGCGAATATAAAATGTAGAAATTTTCCACATGAAAAAAACGATGAAACAGCGACAAATGATATTCGCTTTTTACGCACTCTGTGGTAATTTTGCGTACATACACATGGGGCATTCTCAATGGAAAATGCCGAATCGTATATGCGTTGTAAACATTTGGGAAAATGCGGCGTCTTATCAAGATACTATAAACAGTCTTTCCCCACACTGATAATGAGAATGAAAGAGCAAACAGTTGAATGACTGTTAATTAACAACATCGTTGTCGCAAATCTAGAAAGAAATGCCTGTATTTATGCAAATAAGAGGAAGTTTGTCATACGCAAATATTCAGATTACTTACTACAATTCCCATTAATGAAAATTGTTTCATTTTTCGTTGGCTTTGAAAACCATACACACGTTCTATCAACACGTCCAATCACTGTAATATATAGTAAATATATAGTAATGGACGTTTATTGTCAAGACACAAGTTCAATTGTTTATCGTATCGACTACCAAATTTCTGATAGAACTTTACCTTCGTGTTCAACCATTGGTAACTTGAAGCCAACTTTAAAATCATGGTTAAGCGGAACAGCGCCGTATATACTTATTCCTTATACTGCTCATTAGGGGTCGGAAGCATCCCGCAAAGCCTTCCTCGCCTAACTCGTGGTGATCCTTTTTTGTGCATAGCGGTTGTCCTTGTTCTCTGTTTAATCAAGTCAGTTACAATGCACTGTGCTGAAAATGTACCTATTGGTTAACATTTCTTAATTCGACTTGACGTTTACTTTCGCCACATTTTTTTTCTTTTTCTTCACAATCCATTTAATTTCTCACACACATCCGCCTGAGTAGCCGAAGGGGAGGAATCTCGACTAGCAAGTCAATGGTCGTGGGTTCGAATCTCAAGTGCGGTAGAGTTTTTAATAAAAAGCCGATAGCCTTAGATGCTAGTGCTTTTAAGAGTTTAGTCTTAGAATTTATTTCTCTGGCGAAATTAATAATAATAATAATAATTTCGCACACAATGCAATTTTCAAAAACGAAAAATAATTCAATTTTTAGCAGCTGTTTACACTTTTCTTCTAGGACTGTTTTTCTACAAACACAACACTAAAAGAGAGGGTTATGCTCACTTTTCTTGGTTTATATTCAATACTACCGTAAATTTGTTACCAACCACAGAAAATTTTACTGTCGCTAGATTTTACGTACCTCGGAAAGCGCATTTGGCGACAATCATCAGCATATATGATTACATGATAAGTTTTTATTGATGATTGTCGCCTGCTTACATGTTTACCTAGCAGTTATTATTTATTAGAAGACGGAGGTATCAGCTGTGCATGTTACTACCTCTCATAATCTCAAACTATTCTATTTTGCATCGCAATCCGCCTGAGTAGCCGAAGGCGAGGAATCTCGACTAGCAAGTCAATGGTCGTGGGTTTGAATTTCAACTGCGGTAAAGTTTTTAATAAAAGCCGATAGCCTTAGATGGTAGTACTTTTAAGAGTTTAGTCTTAGAATTCATTTCCCTGGCGAAATTAATAATAATAATAATATTTTGCATCGGAGGTTGTTTTACAGTCTGGTGTATACATAATCAAAAAAAAGGACTTAATAATTCATAAATAATGCAAAATCAACCGAAAACCAAAAGCGATAGTTAAATTTTTCATACCTAATTACCTTTCAAAACTAAATCGATTTCAAGGTTCGAAGCTAAAGTGAGATCCAGTTAATTATAAGATATGTAATAATTACTGTGTTATTGACTCGTTGGATAATTAATAAGAAGAAGAAGGAAACGAAGTATATGTTTTCGTTGGAGAAAAAAGAACAGGCAAGATATCTGCTTGCATTTAAATTCGTAATAACAAGTAGAAGTTATCTACGTGTACAAGTTATTAGCAAGAAAACCGTATTCCTTCAAAAATTTCTTAGTAACAATGAATGAACAAACTTTCGAGGAGAAAAAGATTCTGCAATTAATTCATGATGTTAAAGTTAAGTAAGTGTAAAGCTATAGATATCAAATGTGCGTATTTATTTATTTTTCTAGTATCTTAGACAAGTCTGTGGCTCATTTGACATAACTACTAAAACATTGCAATTATTGAAAGATATCATAAGCAATGGCAAATGGGAACATGCTGAGTAAGTATAAGTTTACATAGTTAATATACTTAACCAGTTATTTATTACTAATTACAGAGAACTGATGAAAATCCTACGTATTTATGGTCATATAATGAAAGATGCTTTGCCTCAAGAGACAGTAGTCGCAAACTTAGTGCGACGTATTCTAAAAATCATTAGAGAAGAGTTTGATCTATTGGAAGTTAAAGTAAATGCAGCTTTACCTGCTTACTATCGACAAATGCTTTAGTTTTTTTATTGCTACTTAAAGGTGCACCATTTGATCGATGACTCCCAGGCTACATTATCTTTACACAAATTAGTTACTCAGACAAGCGAGTGTGATGTGTTGATTGATTACACCAAACCGCGATCCGGCTTAAAAGAGGCCATCCTCGATCATTTGCAAGAGATCGAAAATGAATTGGAAATCAGTTGGGAAAGCATATGTGCTCAGGCAGAACAGCACGTACACTCGACTGAAGTTATATTAACTCTAGGTCATTCCAAAAATGCGGAACATTTTTTAAAAAAAGCCATCGAAAAACGTCAGTCACTAACCATTATTATAGCAGAATGTGCACCGACTTGCAGAGTATGTATTGAAAAACGAAATTTAATTTTTTATTTTGATCCTTATTTCCTTTCTAGGGCCATAATTTAGCCGCTAGTTTAGCTAGTAAAAATGCAGAGATTATTGTTATACCCGATTCCGCCATATTTGCTATGATGTCTCGTGTCAACAAAGTAATCATAGGTACCCATAGTGTTTTAGCTAACGGCGGTTTGAGAGCTGCCTGTGGTGCGTACACTGTGGGTTTGGCAGCTAAACATTATTCGGTACCAGTAATTGTGTTGGCCCCTATGTATAAACTGGCCCCCATACATCTTTGTTCTTACGAGCAAGATGCCTTTAATTCCTTGGGTAATGCTGAAGGAATTTTACCGTATGATTGTTTAGCAGCCAGAAGTGCCAAAATTTATAGTCCTATGTTTGATTATGTACCGCCCGAATTGGTGACTTTATTTATATCGAATACGTAAGCCTTTACGAGTAGATTCGATGGAAAGCAATATTTACTAATTGATTTTTGTTTATAGCGGCGGCCACGCTCCTTCCTATGTGTATCGTTTATTAACTGAATTGTATCATCCAGACGATTATGAAATATGATTTTTATATAGCATTTCAATTTAATAAAACTCTTGTTCTCATTTCTATTATGTATTTAATATCCACAAATATGTGGTAGGTAGTTTTTCGCTTATTATTTTGCTTTTTTTTAAATCTAATTAGAGTCTTTAATAAGCTGTTTTCACTATCACGTTTTTGTGGTATTCTAGTGTTTTTCTTTTTATTATTTGTTTTCCTCCCAATACAGAATGTGTTGACGTGTCTCTTCTTATTTCACTTGGCAATGGATTAGTTTAATTTATCCAACGATCAAAATTTAAATATAACCATCTTTACAACGCATACAGTTTATAAACGTTTTGTATCTAAACGGATTTATTAAATTGGCGCCTTGAAATTTGCTTCAATTGTGGAAAAATATGAAAGCCGAAAGCATATTCTATAAATTTTCTTTAACACGGAGAAGGATCACCGGTAAGCCTAATTTCATTTGACAGTAATATTGTGTCAAACTTATTAAAAAACTAGTTCCCTGAAGAGAGTTTATGCTTTTATCACCATACAAGGATTGTCGGCATATTATATAGCAGGTGTTTAACAATTCAATGGACAAAAAACCCTATGTCCGATATTTGTTCATGATTACATTCCTTCAAACTATATAGATTGATTGAAATCGGTTTAAAAATCTATTAAGCAAAGTTTTATGAACAATTGAGTGTTTGTTTGTCAGCAAACCCTTTATATTGACTTTTCCATACAGTACACACTTGCAGATCGTTTGATACAAAGTATAGGTTTAATTGTTGAAAATTGTGCTTTCGTTTACAAGACGACGGGAATTTGTAAGTAATAAAAAAATTACCTTCAAATTCAATAATAGGAATGTTTCGAGCGTTGCTATAGATGCAAAAACGAGGTTTGGATTTAAAGTTTTAGTGTACAACTTTTTTTCAAGATTACACACACTTAGGAAAGCAACCTTTCTATGTCTGTGGTATGCGTCTGCCTAAGCCGCAGCTAAATTAAATTAAAATGTGGAAATATTTTCTTACTTTATGGTCACAGAGCAAGTGTAAAAATAGATATGATCCATTCACAATTGGTCCCCTAGCAGAAAAAAACGGTTACTATTAAATTACAGGAGCTAAGAATGTGGAACTTGCACAGTGGTTAATGACTGGCTAAATAAGCTTATTTCATTAACAATTGTACCCATAATCTACAAAAACCTGCAAAGTGCCGCCCCTTGGAAAATATTAATTTAAAACTCTGTGCAAGCATTTTCGTGAAGTGCATATTTATTTATTTAACAATTTACCTATCTGTACTTATATAAGGGTTGCCCTAGTGGTTCCTTACCACTTATTCCCTATTGTGTTAATTAGATCTCTGATTAGAGGTGAGATTGGCATAGCAAATTATCTGAACAGACTTTTTTTTTAAGCTCCCTACATTTTTTTATTGCAATAAAGTTTCGAAAAAATACAGTAGTATATAGTAGTAAAAATATTTTGGTACTTAATACTAAGGTTAAAAATAAAAATGTTTAATATGAAGATTTAGAAATTTGCAAAACGAAAAATGTTGGTTCCAAAGTTAAAATTGAAGTATATTCCGTCACCTAAGCATGCGTTAGACGAAAGCGAATTAAAAATTAAATCAATTGTCCATTTATTATTTTTACTTGAAGAGAGATATGTTGTTCAGTGCATTTTGGTATACACGATCCAGTTATTGATCCACATATGTGAGTGTGCATGGAATAAATATGCAGTCACTTCCGCCTTCTTAAAAAGCAGTAGAAGTCGTCGCTGAATACGTTTATACTCAAACAATGGAAATAACAATTATTGTAAAGTAAGATAAACGACCATAAGCGCCAGTAGGTCTAAAATGTTTTCACACATGTCTAGAAATCCATTCAATTAAGTATATTGAAAGTAAAACCTTTGTTTTCGAGGGGGTGTGCGGTTTTGGTTGCGTGCATATGAAGGATTTTCACTTAGTATATTTGTGTTGTTGTTTTACTTAGGCAATTTTTCAATTAGTAAGCAAATGTCACTGCGCTGAAGTTAAGTTAAATAATTTTGTGTGATAAAAGGTTAAATAATTGGGAAAAATTGTAATAAGACATTGATTTCTTTTTTTTCACGCCCGTTAATTTAAATCAGCTTAAACTGGGCAACCAAGCGTATTTAAAAAATTATTTTATTTACTAAATTAATTGTACCTATGTAGAGAAATGTTACTTCCGGTAAGTGTTTAAGTAGGATAAGGTGGTATAATAAGGCAGAAAATAGCCAAATAAAGGCGCAAGTGATTTGTAATTTGTTCATTTACTTTTTCAACTTCTTTTTGACAAGTTCAATAATCAATCTATTGTCGGATGATTATGGTTTAATTAGTTTAAAATAATGTGACGGTTCCCATCACCGTAGGGCTCGCTTTGGCCATATCATTCCCATTGTGAATTCCATTTGAAGATGAGAAACGGAAGAGAATGGAAATGTTAGTGTTCCACAATGTTCATCTCGGCTAATTTTATATTTTTTATCTCTTTACGAGGAAAGTCACGTCTTTTTTATTTTCTATACTTGACTTGTCATACAGTTCCAAGGGGTGGACAGAAGAAAATTAGATTATTAGATAAGAGTTTCCGTATGATCGGTGTTTTAACAACTTCTGCAAAAGTCAAGTATAAAGATCGTAGTATTGGCTACTGTATCTTTTGGAAATGGCTGTCATTCCACATGAGCACATGGAATTTTGAAATCATATATCATAATGGTACAAGAGAATAGTATTGGAACGGCCGGAAAAGTCTTCGCATCGAGCCGATTATGCGATGGTTATAACTATATTATATCAGTAGTATTCCATATTGACTCGGGCAACAAACTTGCCTTTTTTACATGCCAACGTTAAGTTTAGTCCTTCCTTCTTCCACCAAGTTTTCCTTTTTCCCCAATTTCACTTAAAAGTTTTACACATTGACATCACATTTGTAATGATTTCTCATTACATTTAGGACAAGACGGATATAATGATGTGTGAAATGAAATAATACCCATCAATTTTGTTGTCGGATTTTTGGTAGTTGTAGGCACTTATATAAAAGTATTACAGCTTCTAGAAGAATATTTTTATAAATATTTACTAGTCTTACTTTGAGGAATCGTGAGTTTTTAAATATAATATAAATATCCCCTTTTAGCAGCGGTTCCGTTGCTTGAGTGTGTCGTGCTGCTGTTTTTATGGTTTCTGTTGCTCACGTTGCCATAATGCTGTAATTGTTATTATTTTTGCTCTTTCCGAAACCCACAATTTGTAGTTTGTAGAAATGAAGGCTACTCTTGGCAATATTACAGCCCATGATCGCAGGGATTGCCTTCCTTATTTTGCTAATAGCATATAAAAGCTTTCTTTCATATAGAAGTTTTCTCATACCCAAGCTTTCTTTTATATAAAAGACCTCAACTTATCCTTACAAATTTAACCCTTTTTTATATGTTTTGTTGGAAGTGTCAATTAATTTTACCAAGTTGAAAAGTGTAGGATAATGTGAACAATCAAATGAACAACTGCGAAGCCATACGTAAACTTGTTCTAAACTTTTGAAATTCTTCATGAAATATTTGGCGTTTGTTTGTTATTTTGCTAGTTTCTCTTCTGGTGATTACCACTTTCTTATCAGAAAAGCGATCCTTTATCAAAAAGATCAAAGCTAGCGTTCTTAGCTTTTTCCTTTTCTTCTAACATGTGTCTTAATAAGTTGGCTTATTAACGTATAAGTTTTTGTTGTCTTCAAGTTTTTATAAATGTTGCTAACTCAGAGATTTTTTTTTTTTTTTTTGGTATGTTGAACAGAGATGGACTAAGCTAATATATTTGTGGCTTATATGTCCAGATAATAAACTGTTGTAATTTTTAGTCACGATTATGTATAAAACGTAACAAGAAAATAAGAGCGGCCGTAATAACTGGAGTAGGCATGTAAAATGTAATTGTGTGTGTGTGTGTGTAATTGTGCTTGTTGAGTTCTTGAAAGTTAAACAGTGTTGCAAACTTTGGCTGAAAACGAAAAGCAATGCTATGGTAATAGAAGATTATTAAACGCAAAAACGAAAGAAAAAAAAGGAAAGAGGAAAAAAAAAAAAAAAATTCTAAAAGGATAAATTAGCTTTTCTAATAAAGCAAGTTAGTTCCCCGAGATGACGTACATTTTTTGCTGCAAAGAGATCGAGGAGACAGCCATATAACTTGAAGAAGCTAAAGGAATCTCTAATGCTATCAAGCCTGTGACATCTGAAGATTAGATGCTCAGCAGACAACTCAGAGATTGATCTATGTTAATACTGTGTTCGATTTTATAGATTTCATATATATGTAGATGAGGCGCTTAATGCCTTCACGTACGGTCTTGTCTTTGTTGGCATTCAATGTTTCCTTGAGAGTTGGTCGAACTCTTGCTTTTCGTGGAACATAAGGATTTTCAAAATTACTAGTTCCTTCACCGCTCTGCAGTTCTCAACAACCATTTTATTAAAGTTTTCGCACTTATTTCTGCGTTCTCTTAATGTGCAATATTCCACATTGTTAGAGCATAAAGTATTGCACGGAGTGAGTAGTTTAAGGATTTGACATCAGTTGTAGTTATGAAGTAACTTAACAATGCATCGAGAAGATCGCGGATCCAACAATAAAAGCAAGTGCTTGTGAAAGATTTTTTTTTGGCGGTCTTATTGTAACAATTACGGAAACACAAACAAAATGGATGATACTGGGGAAGTATCTTGAAAAATCTTTTCGGATGACCGAATAGAGTAGAGGGTTGATCAAAATAAAATTAGAAATTCGCAATAATATAAGGATAATTGAAATGGAAATTTCGGTCATCCTTAACTAAGCAGATTGGTCCCACAGTTCATCAGTAGTGTGTATCCTAAAGAGATTCGAAAGAATCGATTGCAGGGGCAATACATCCTATTTTCTCGAATGTATTTTTACACTAGCCATCGATTATCCAAAGAAAAGAAGAACTCTCGTAGAGTGTCAGCTCGTAGAACTGGGAAATAAAAAAAAGGCTACCGTCAACAACAGTTCTTCAAGACAAAGTGTCTAACTGCCCATTCATAAAACGACGACTGAATGTAATAAATCGAGGCACAGACAATTTAATTATCGTCGTCACCAATATAGCCGACTATAGTAGGCATCCAAAACTATGCCCTTAGAATCTCTATACGCAATATTTTTCAAAAGTTGATCAGTCAATTTAATCACATTTTACTCCCCAGGTGGACTTCGCTGGAGATAGTCCTCCACATAGACTATAGGAATATCTGCTTGTTTGCTTGCTGATTTCTTTTCTATGCAGTCAGTTGCTACAAAGGCCCGAAGTCCACTTCTCAACCGATTTGCAAGTTCTCTTATATCGGAGAATTAAAAGTACAGCCATGAGCAGCCCATTATTACGGCAATATATCTTCTTTTACCTCGAAAATGTAGAGAGAAAGTTTGTATGCCAACACAGGAGGTCTGTAGTGCAATAAAAGTTTTCGCTGCATATTGCCAACTACACAAAAGGATTATAGCGCGAACTGTGCAAGCCCCCCATAGTCGGATCTGTGTTTCTATTTAGGACAGAGATACAATACGTATTTTTTTCCTTTTGTTCATATATTATTATAATTGATTCGCTTACTTGTAGAAGCGTTTTTGAATTTTTCGCTTTTTTTATTTTTTAAAAGTTGCTTAATTAATTGACTATTTTGTTACATAAATTAGCTCAATAAAGTCTGCATACAGTAGGAAAAATTAAGGTTTTTCTTACTAAAAATTAAATGGATTGAGGGTCAAAAACTACATTTCTTAAAAAATTAAAACTTATCTTAAATAACAATCCGATTTTTTTTTGACTTGATATAAAGATATAAATAAAAAATATACTTCAATCTCAAAAAATATCACAAAACAGTATACATACAGCGAAAACACATCACTAGAAGAATAACTTAATTTTTGCATTTGGATTCGTACACTTGAACACTATTTTATAAGTATTTAGCAAATGATTTTCTCAAGAGATTAGACAAGTGATTGTAAAGTTAAGATGTGGGGAAAAATCGTACGGCTAAATAGTAAAAATAATTGGAATTGGTCGTGCCCCCGTTCGAGACAATGAAAAAAATTACAATAACGCAAATACTAAAGAAAACAAGCACCGGTCAGGAAGAAAAGTTGAAGAAAAAAGAAGTTAGAAAAGAAAAGAATATTTTAAAACTAAACTAAAATAGAAAACATTAATTCATATAAATCTTTAGTGAATTCATTTTCGAGTGAAAAATTATTCTTTCGTTCGCAGTTTTGTAAACTCTTTTTTAAAAATGTATGTATATATTAAATATTTTTTGTCCGCATTGGTAAGTGTTCCCCGGGATAACAGCTAAAACAAGCTGTCTCTCAATGGAGACAGTGTCTGAGCCGACTATTGCGGGTAGAGATGATTTTGAAGATTTTTATCTGAATGCCATTGAGAATAATAAGAAATCGAAAATGGTTCGGGATGAAGCTGATTTATCTCCCAAAGGAGGACCGAAAGCTGATGGTTCAAAAGTATTCAATAACCAGGTAATTAACAAGTCTTTTGGGTGCCAAAGCCATTCCAAATCATGAAATTAATTTGTATGACTGTATTTCGCAATGCAATTTCTTCGTTTTTGTTGAAACTTCTGAAAACTCCGAAGGCATGCGTATGAACATCAATTTGGATTTTTTCTTTTATGATTATCCAAATATTTCGATATTAATGGTTTAAAAGAACTAAAGATGGTTAACAAGAATAGAGCCAAATTACTGTTGAGCTTTGCTCTTAATGCTAACAACTTTATTAAAAATAACGATTTTTAAAAGAAAAACTTAAAGCGTATATTCACGGAAAGATTCAGAATTGTTCGCAATGTCCCTATAGAATATGATGTAAATCAGATTATTGAAAAAGCGGGGTTCGATATTCCCACTAAATCTGCTTCGGCTGCGAAGAACAAATCCTAACAACAACGACGATTCTATTCCCACAACGACTATTAAAATTGGTTCCAAAACTGATCTGAAAAAGCTTTTTTTATTTTGAAAATAGAAAAAATCAGCTGCGCCCACTGCATATTATTAACCATGAAAATTTTAACAACGAATGCTATTGGAAATGGGTCAGATCGGAACATTCGTTCGATCACTTCTCATATAACATCTTATTTTAAAAAGTCGTTACATGAATAACTGCATTAAATAAAGTGGCGTATTGTATTTAATTGTAAAATTCTATGTATAGTGTTTTCACCTGTTCTTACTATCGAGTGAAAAGTTTACGAATCATAAAATTACTGTGGAGCAAAGCGAAAATAAAGTAAAACATTGTTATGAAATGCGCATAGTCCAATTAACCTCAATGACAGAAACTCTAAAGCGTTGAGAAACAGGGCCATAAAATGAACAGATAAAAATGTTTAAGAAATATTAAAAGAAAACGTGAAGGGTTATAAAAATATAATTTAAAAACCCTTATAAATTAAAATTAGCTCATTTGGATTATTATTTTTTTTTTTGTTTTTTTACTTATTTCTTCTTCCTTGGATTTGTTTGCATATATATTGTTAATTACACATTAATGATATGATACCTATTCCGTTGTTTCGGTTATGCTTGCTTGTCGAATCAAGTACGCACTAGAAGATACCAAGAATTTTGCTCGTTGGAGAATGCATGGGGCTTAAGTTGCGCATTGCATAATCAGATTTTACGAATATAGTTGTATTTGGTGCGAAGACGCGCCTTACTAGTGCACACAATGCAACTGTAAAAAGATTTTCATCAAATTCCAACAATGTTTTCTTTTTGTGCTTTTTTTGTATCGTCAGAACGAAAGCATTCCGCGAATCATGAAAAATTATGAGAGAAAATGTAGATAACTAAAGACGCACGCTGTTTCCTGATTAACATCAAAACATTTAGAAGGTAAACCAAACATTACGATATTTCTCAAAAATAAGAAATGGGTATTGTCTCTTAGCTGGAACTGAACTGTGCTATCAGTGTATTATACCGCAAAATGCCTACTCCGCTTGAATAATTACAAAAATGACACCAACTAACGGTCCTTTTCGCATCTTAATATAGGGAAGACAAGATAGTTATGTTTTCCTACAATTCAATACCCAGCTAGAAGGAATTCCATTTGAAGTTTTGCAATTTATAAAAGCTGGCAATAATACCAAGAACCTCTTTTCGAATGCAGTATAGCGTTCCTAAAATTTATACCTATTTTATAGAAATGTTCGAAGATTGAGATACGGATTAATTTTGATTCAGCCAGTTACTTACTATTAGATGTAGCTTCTGACGTTATCGTTGTTATTAAGTGATAAGCACATTTGTTAAGAAGTACCGATAAGATTGAATTTTTGTTAAATGAACAAAGACATATCGAGCAATGTTATTATATATATAATTAAAAATGTTTTTTGTGGGCAAGACCGACCATTGAATACCCTGCAGTTCTGCGCTTAATATAATACTTTCCATTATAATATACAAATATTCATTTATTTTTCATATAAATTCTTACATGGGATTAACCCTAAAATCTGAATTGGCGGTGTCAGAATTTGGACAAATTTTTTTTTGTCATAAAACTATCTATTCTTCACCCATTTCCGTCATAATAAATAGCTAGACATCAGATGGACAACCTTAAATCGATTTAAAAATTGATTTCAAAACGATCAATTTAATAATGTGTGGACTTATCGCACATGTTTCTGCATATGTGCACAAGCTGAATACAATCTACCCCAAATGGCGTAGGGATAAAAATATCAAAATGTCTATTTGTAAAACTTTATTATATGTAAAATTCATTGATCGTTCAACTATATAGCGGTTGGGAGGGTTTTTAAGACAAATTTGAAAGAATAAAATAAATACGCAATACTATTTTTAAAGTTTTTTTCTTTGGAAAACAAGCCGTAAAATATTATTATCTCCTGTGCTAGGATGCATACAATTATAGAAGGCATAATCTTATATAGTTCCGGAGGCCAGCTGCACAAAGATTTTGATTGTGATTACGCCAAGATTGCAAAACATAACAGAGGAACCGCCGCTGTTACCACTTCCTGTACCGACACGCGTTCTAGTTCAACAACTACTTCCCCGTCAACTTCTACCTACACTTCTAATTGTATGCGGGCAGAAAAAACTAACGGTCAAAATATTTCCTCGGCTGGTAATTGTGAAGGTAGTTCAAAATTTAATGCTTTGAATAGTAAGAAAATTACTGACCGACGTCGTCAAGTCTTCCTTGATAGTAACTACAACACTTGGAAAAGTAGATATACGAGTAAGGAAAGAATCAGTCAACCACAAAAAAAGGAAGGTAACACCAGTGCTGAGAATTCAGAAATCGCTTATGGTGAAAGGTATCGTAAAATAAGCAATACGATTGATGTTGGGATACGGACTGTAGCAAAACGCGATATTTATAGCAATAGTTGGAAATACGCAACATTCCCCGTAAACAAAACGGCAGCAACAAAATCAATTTTAAGCCCGCCCCCACTAAAGCCACCGCTTAGTCGTACTCATAGTATTATTATTGGTGACGAGGAAAGTTGTTTAATCAGAAATTCAGTGACTGGTTCCTCAACAAACACGGACATTGGCGATACAAAAAATCAATCATACCAAAAGGCGCTAACAGATATCTCTAGAACTTTGAGTATTCCTTCTAAAACGAATGCAGAAGGAACTCACAAGATGCCTCAAGAATCGAAGAGTGTTTTGTTAAGACCCAGCGACAACCTGCAAAATGGGTCCCTGGATACGAATTCATGTTCTAAAGTAGTTTCCGTTAAGCATTACGAACGTTTGATAGAAGAGTTAAAATGTCCCGGTTGTGCGTATCCGATGAAACCGCCCATTTATATATGTAAAACAGGGCACAGTGCTTGTGAACAATGTACTCGAGTTCTATTATTGTGTCCTCTTTGCAGAGTAAGTGAAGCCTTAGTATACAAAAATAAGCTAAATTTTTACGAATACTTTCGTTTTACAGGAAACTTTCACTAATATCAGGTCTCTTACCGTTGAAGCGTTATGTTCGAAAGCTCATTTCAAATGTTCCAACGCAGCAGGAGGTTGCACCGTCCGCTTACAAATTGATTTGATTTCTTGGCATGAGAAGCAATGCATCTACAAGCCGATGAAATGTTTTATGGGCCGTGTCTGGGGTGATTGTCAGTGGACGGGTCGCGAAGCTTTCTGGAAAACTCACTTAGACACGGAGCACTTCAATAAGGTTTTTAAATCCGACAACGCAGATTTGATCTGGAATATGGGCGTTAAGCAGAAACCTCTAGCTGGTTATTATGTATTTGAGGCTTACAATGAAATGTTTAATTTCTATGAAATTTACGATAAAGAACGGGTGTTGTTCACAATGACTTGTACATCCACACAAAAAGAGAAGAAACATCAATTCGCTTACGAGGTTAGCATAATACATCAGGAGAATGAAGCGTTAGGTATAATACAAAAATTTCCTGTACATAGTGAATACGATGCGGATATTTTAGCCGAAGGTACATGCGTTAGCATTTGGTTAAATGATTTGGCGAGATTTATAAATGATGAAAAGGTAAGTTAAAGAGAGTTTTCGAATTAAACGTATTTCCAATTGAGGAAAGATTTGAGAATTAAAGATACTTTGTGATTTGTTAAATCTTTACAGCTATTGCATTACCGTGTTAAGGTTCTTGAAGTAAAGACTTGGCGTCGATCTCAAGCTCTTCCTAATACCAGTCTCAACAATTTACCTATAAATTATCAGCAAACCCAGATTCGAGGTGTTAATCTGAAAAATGTTCCCTCCGACGTTATAGTCACTCGAAATTTAAATAATTTAAGGACTGCTGACAGCGTTGCCGACTGTATGGCTTCAGAAAATGATGCAAATAAAATGCCACATAATTACGATGAAAAATTGGCTGCCAAAAAAAATCGTGACAGTGGTTCCGATACCGATCCAGAATTTGAGACTCTGATAGCCAAAAAGTGGGGAACACCACAGCTAAATTTTAATCGTAAATATCTAAAAGTTAATAGTTCGAGTGATAGTTCGTCCAACGAGGGTTCAAATGATCTAAAGAAGACTTCGAAAACAATTGCGAGCGATAGAATGTCGTTACCCAGCACCAACACAAGTTATAAAAAAAAAATGACCAACACATTACGTAAGAGCTTTCGCAGTTTAAAAACCGACATTAGTGAAATGAAACCGTTTGGCAAAAAAAGTACTTCGCCTGAAAAACAAAAACTGGAAAAATAAGAGAAGGTCATTATGTAATATATTGGTTTTTTCACTGCTCTTAAATATATTTGTATGTATTTTCTGTACTTTTTTTTTTAATAAACGTAAGACCCATATATGAAGATCATAAAACAAACGTGAAAACTAACTGAAAGAATTTTGAATCTTGAAGAGTTTCAGTTCTTATTTTTGGTGATTATTTCACTTTGCGGAGATTTTCTTTAAGAAATTATAATTTTAGAGGAACATACGACTCACGTATTCTCATTGCAGCCTTTACTGTGGATATTCTTGTGCTTTTCTACACCTTTCATAGACGATTTCATTATCAGCAGTAATTTTTACTCAAATCTTAGATATAACAATTAAGTCAGCTATATTCGGCTGGGACCGAATCTTGTATACCCAGCACCAAACATTTTGTAGTAGCCGTACCAAGTTTATCCAACTTTATCGCGCTGTGGTTGTTATTACTATATGAATATTAAGGAACTTTGGAAGTTTTAGGTGAATCCCTAACAGCATAAAAATATGAAAATTTCATCGCTTATCGATGTGTGTGGGCGTGGCCGTTTTGTTCATTTTTAAACAAACAATACATCTTTAAATGTTAAGAATGTAAAGATTAATTTTCAACATTCTGCTTTGTTTACCTTATAAATAATGTGTAAAAAATTTCCAATCAGTGAAAAAATTGATTTTTGTTTGATCACTTATAAGTTTGTGAGGGCGTGACTATTTTTTTGCAGTTTTCAATATGAAAAGTAAGGCCCTTCCCGCAAAAAACAGAAAATTTCATCCCTCTTCCTCTCATAATTTCTACGTACTGAGCAAACAATCACACTTTTTTGCTTAGAAAAATAAAGACGTTTTCACTTTGCGCTTCTTTAGGGTTTTGACCTTCGACCGGTTTGAACCATCTTCAATAACAACGGCGCGACCTTCCAATTTTTTTGCAAATATGAAATCGATATCTTAACTTTCGCAACCAGGTATCCACACAGATGAACAGTCATTGCTATAACGATTTAGAATTTGTCGCTGATCCAGGATATATATATTCTGAAGTGGCTCTTAAATCTACTGTTAGGCTGATAAACGTACGACGTTCTGAAGTGAGTATATTCCTATCTTTTGATGGTAGGTATAAATATAATGACAACTAGGCCCATTACGAACTAGAAGAATTATCATGTTTGCTTTGTTAAACACTTAGTTGCTTTTTCCTTACGTATTTGGTTGAAATTATTCAACCATCATGTACGTAGTGATGGCGTGCCGCCAATATTTTCAAATTTTCAGACTGTCTTGGTATTTGCCTAATTGGTTTGATGTGGCAAAGTGAAAAATTTATTACAACGGAAAGACTGATCTAATATAGACATTACCTTTTCTTTAAAGTTTACTAACGTAATCTGCTGTGGCTTTTCCCAATTTCCTAAAGCGCTAAACAATTCTTCTCTCTACTCAGGTAGCGCAATACAAGCTGTATGTTCAACGACGCCTGAACACAGTGCCGATATACGAAGCAAATGCTTTCATTGTGTGCTGCGCTTAACACTGAGTGTCTTTTTAAATCTTATATAATTTCGTGATAGAGCTTTTTCCAGTCTACATCGTTTGCGATACATAGTATTGTTACGAAAATCCCAAATCTAGTTAATTCCAGCTCAGTAATTTTCCCTAAAAATAAAGTCCCTAAAGCAGGAAAAACCAAATGCACATTCGCAGACGCGTCATGCTGCTGCAGGCCGATGAAAATGATTTGCGGGAAAACGACAGGTATTAAATATGAAAACTATGAATTTGGGTATAGTAACACGCTTGTAAAAATGTATATAAATAAATTATTTGTGGAAGGGAGAGTTAGTCGGGCAAGAAGATAGAAGTTGAGAGTACGGCCAAAATAAATGATCAATAATCCTACATTTAAGGAACATGATTGGAAGCGATTGATCCTACTGTTAATTGTAAATAAAAGAACTTTGAAGTGTATTTCTCTTGAACAAAATATCCACGGTCCAGTCATACGGACTGTATCTTAGAAAAGCGAATTTCGTAACAGTATAATAAATTGAGGGGTTTGATGTGGACTCACCCCTTATTATGCTAGTGGATTCTGAATCATTTTCCGCATTAATTTAAGTTTGTTTGGCTGACTTATGTCCACAAATTTCTGGATTCAATCTAAAGATTTTCTATATATTTTGACGAAATTAGCCACGTTAAAGAGTTTTGGACGAACGCTATTGAAAATGGATTGGAAATAAGTCAAGCGTGATGGGATCTCTATAAATTAATTAGTGTTGCCAAGTTTGAACCAGGTCAGTTCAAAATTTGGGTCCTCAGCTTACGACTATAAATTTCGGATTTTTAACACGGAAATGAATGCAAAATTATATTAAACGAATTGGTGGACGATATTTGACTGTCGGCGTTGCAATAGTTTCCGCCTTTGGTCCGTTTGTGGTATATCACGTATTGCGGCCTAACTTCACTCCTTAACAGAAAGCGATTCGTCACCCTTGGTAACGGAACCGGCCTACCAAAGCGTTGCTCGTTGTGGGTGTAAACACATTTCACGTGAACTTTTAGATTCATTGCTATAAGAACATAAATGTGATGGTGTTAACATTTTTATAAGAGTGGGAATGGTGTGGAATGGCCACAGTCTAAGTTTAAATGACAGACCTTAAGAAGTGGAGTTGTCATTAGTAAACGATACATAATTTAAACAACTAAGCACAACGATTGCATTTACGTTGTGCATTGCTGCAGCCATGTCATACACTAAACAAGTTTGAAGTGCTGAATAATATAATATTTATAATTAATTAGCAATCTTTAATATCAATTTTAATAAAAACGTTAATGAGTACTGTAAAATCATCTGAAATTAGTTTGATTTCATAAATACATCACATGTATGCAGCAAAATTAAAAATTTGGCAAATACATGCACCCCTGCTACAATGAAGTGTAAGCTATAAGGGTCCATCACATAAGAAGGTTAGTGCCTACCATACTGTATAGAAATATATCATACGAAATTTTTTTATTTGTTTATTTAAACCAAGATATAATATAATGTGACTTTAAATATAACATAAATAATAATAAATCAAGCCAATGTGCACCCTGTTACGTCAAAGCTAATTCTTAAGGTGTAAAAAAATGAAACACAGCATTATGATAAAATACAAAAGTTAAAATAAAATAATAATTACGATCGCAATATTAATTATAAAACATAAGGGAAAAAATCTAGCGGCGCACATTTTAGACTTTGTTAAAATGTCGCTATGTATCAAAATTGTGTTACAATGGGTATAAAATTTTGAAACCACGTTTGGCAAGTACAATGTTATATGAGAGACGCCCCTATATACTCCACTATGCAAAAACACTTGCAATCTAGTTGCATATTACCAGCTAGTATACGCTGCGCGACACAAATTGAGCATACCCTAAAGTGTTAACCCAATAATTGAGTTATGAGTTACGCCAAGCGAACGCACTACTAGCAGAAAATTGTTTGTTGTGTTTTTAAGTGCAGATGAACGTACAACTTCCGTTATGTTGCGCGTGAACAAAAAATTTTGGCAGCCTTTTAAAATTTGTTTGTTCGTCGTTTTCGACAAGCAAAGCAGTAATATATTTTTGTGAAAGCAGAACATAATCGTACGATTAATGTTTTAGTTTTTGCAGTGGTTATTTGTATTTCATATGCAAAAAAACTAATAACAATGAAGGAGAAATTTAATTAAATTAAATTGAGAACATTAAATTATTTAAAATAAAATAATTATAAGCGGATTTAAAACAACTAATCAACGCGTTATATAACAGGCAAGAACTATACAACAAACGCTTGCCTGGCTTTCGGAATAAAGTCCTAAAAAAAAAGGCTTGGGGAGCTACATCAAAGGTAACGAGCATACCCAATAAGTACAATACAGTAAATTTGCAAACTGTTGAACACATCTTCTATATTTTTTAATTGAAAAGTGCCAAGTGAAATTGAGGTCGCTAGATGATCGCTATGACGCTATGCTCTTTTTAAGGGATTTCGTAGCACTGAATGAGTAAATATGATATGTGTACGAGCATTATATGTATAAAGAGCCTCTTTTTTATAGGTATGAAACGAGTTTGGACATTGAGTCGGTGGTAGAAGTGGTTGAAAGTCCAGCACTTTTTAGCGACGAGACGCACAGTAAGTTCTGGAAAGGTGTTTGACTCATCCAAATGCAAGACTGAGGACGACAAATATTTGGAACGAATGTACAAATTTACGCATAAACCGTAAAGAAAAATTGAAATGATAGACCAAGAGAAGAAAAAGAGGATAGCCATAAAATTTTTGGGATTACTGTTCAACAAAGCGGATCAACGGCAACAGGATTTAAAAATGAAATTGCTTAACTGTGCAAGAGATGCAATTAAGGATATGTTAAATACAAAAGATACGATTTAATATAAAACATAAAATAGGCTAGAAACATGTATTGAATTAGCGGCATGTAGTGACTTTCTTTTCATTGTGAATGAATGTTATGTATAATTTTTTGCATTATAAGGAATATTTTTTGTTACTGCTTTAACACCTTCTATTGTTTTTTCATTATAAATGAATATATTTTCTCTTTTTCACTTCAATTGAAAAAATTTTTTTTTGTTTTACATTATTTTTTTATTTAAATAAACTTGTATGGATTAAAAACTTAAGTTACATTTGTATTATTAAATTGAATTTTGGTCAAAATAATTTTGTTAAACACTGCGAAAATAAAAAGCGCCTTTGTAGGCGTTAGGTAGTGGTCTTGTATTCTTCCTCCACTTTTTACATATCATTTAGTCATGGAACAACATATTCTGTTGCATAAAAAGATCTGCGTACATTTTAAAAAAAATTTGCAAAACTGTGGCAACTGTACATTTTGGAATATTCACTTTATATTGCTCAACGTCATTATAATATACATAGTCGAAGACGGTCACAGCTAATCCAGCGACATATCAGTTTCTATATAAAAATCTTATCCAGCATACTCTTTTTGCATTTATGTCGAAAATGATAACACTCCTACATATCGTAACCAAATTAATTAAATCGTCGCTATCCGCCTCCTTTTGTGGTTTAAATGCTTCCTTATAAACCCATCAAATATTGCTACTTAGTTGCAAATATTATATTATTAACTGTAGTGTAAGCTTACTAGGAATAATTGAAATCGTCTTTTGTTTGCAAACAAATGTTTTTTTTACTTTTCGTCGTATTTTGTTTCAAGAAACTTTTCACTCTATCAACTTTCTACCTCTTCATTAGTGTATATGTAAACAAACGCTAACCGTTCGATTTTGCTTTAGCAACATACACAAGCTGTATGTTTACTGATTTTGCTGTATGTTTGATTTGCGGCTAACAACGCCTCAACAATGCGTTGTGTGCAGCACTTTACTTGGCGATGAATTTAAGATTTCCCCAGCTTGGCAATGACAGCGCTGCCATTTGCATTATAAAGATTATCTTATTAAGAAGCACTAGGCACAACACTGAAATCTACCAACAGCTGTTTTGCTGCACGTCTTTTGTGTTATTTACTGCTCTGATAGTCAGCAAAGTTTGTTTTATACCAACGCAAATTCATCAAAGTAATTTATGGGTGTTACTATTTTATATTCTTACATAACACCCGAAGGTAAAACGGGTGCGCAGGCTATTGATAATCTAAGTAAGCGGCTGTTGGCTTTGGGCGCTGTACATACCGGACAATTTCTTGTAGATTGTGAATCTTATATGACCGCCCCGCAACATGGACCTTCGAAGGTGGTTCATGTTATACATAATTCCGAATACCCGGTTACTACGTTTTCTATACTTGACACTGGTACCGGTAAACAAATTCCTCTAATCGCGGATAATATATTTGACCTGGTTATTATTAAGATGACCGCCATTAATACAAATAAAAAGCAGACGCGCATAGAATCGAAAGGCGCTCGTTTCGAATACGGCGATTTCATTGTAAAGTTGGGTTCAGTAACTATGACTGAGAACTTCAAAGGTATACTGATTGAAATTGAATACCGTGCTTGCTTAGTTGTAAGTTTTTGTTGGGAATTAATACGTGAAATGATGGAGAGTTTTCTGGGTACTACGATGCCGAAAGAATATCCTGCTTACTTTACGTCGCAGACACACACACACACAATTGTAAATGCTATGGGTCAACAACAAATGCATGCGAAACAAAATGATACATACGACATAATGGATACTGTTAATCAATATCTGGAACATTTTACAAATTATCGCAAACAAAGTAATATACCTCAATCACAAGTGGCAACAGGACCAGCTAATGTTACTATGAGTTCTGGCTTGAGAGTTGGATAATTTATAAAATAAGAGATCTAGTTATATAAAATTAATTTAGGTTTGCTATTTAATAAGTGTAAAGAGCTGTAATAAATTTAGCTGAAATTTAGTGCTTCACTTTACAACAATTTGAAATCTTCAGATATAAATATATGTAAAGGGTTGAAGAGCTCTTAAAATTCTTGCGCTTATGCGATGTATAGAAAACAGAGTGGCTGTAGGTCATTCGAACTTATGTGCACCGTTGAGAAAAATCTCCGAAGTTGTTAATTTTAGATAAAAATCATAGTTTATTTTAATCCCAGGGTTGTATTAAGTAATTTTTCAGAAACACAGGGGCGATAAACTACAGGTTGATCTCATTTTTAATTAAACTATGATTTCATTCGCAGCAGCTTTATTTAGGCTAATCCCAACTGAAATTTGTTATAATAGCCCTGATAAAATGTTATCATTTCAATAAAACGCAAGTAAAAGCAGTGAAGAGAACGTTCGCATTTCATTCATACTTCATACAACACGTGTTAGTGAAAAAAAAGAAAAAAAAAAGAGAATTTAAATATTTGAAAAAAGGAAAAGAGGTTTAATAAAGTAATAAAATAACCAAAGAAAACAATTTTAAAGGAAGAAAAGGAGGGAAGGAAGAGGAATCTCTCATGAGAGAAAAATTAAGGAACAATACATATATTCAATTTTTTGTTTTTTCGTTGTGATTTTTTCTTTTTTTTTTCGTGTTCCCCGTGATAACAACCAAAACAACATCAGCCCGTCTCCCTATGGACACTGGGTCTGATCTTATAACTACTGATAGAAACTGTTTTGAAGATTTTTACATGAACGCCACTGGGCACACCAAGAGATCGAGAATGGGTGAGAATAATATTCTTTTATCTGTTAACGGAGAAGCTAACGCAAACGTTTTAATTGCGCCTAGTAAACAGGCTATCGACAAGCCATCTGATTTGGGTGCCACAGCCGCCCCAAATCTCGAGATCAATTTGTACGATTGCCTTTCGAACTGCAATTTCGTCGTTTTGTCGAAACGTGCGCAGATGCAGAAGGAAATCGTATCAATATTAACTCCAATCTCTATTTCTTTGATTACTTGAAGGATTTCGGCATGTACGGCTTAAAAGAATTAAAAGTTGTCAGCAGGGGTAGAGCCAAACTGCTTTTCAAACCGCTGCCACTGCCAACAATTTTGATATGAATAATAAATTTAATAAAAAGAATTTAAAAGTGTACATACCGAGGTTGTTCACTGAGAGATTTGGAGTTATTCGAAACATCCCATGCACAATGTAGTGTCGATGATATAATTAAAAACGCCATATACGATATTCCGATTAAGTCCGCTGTCCTTTTCCAAAGAAGAAAGCCCAACAACAAAGACGAGTGGATTCCCACAACCAGCATCAAAATTGGCTTCAAAGGGAGAGCCCTCCCTAAGTCAATAAAATTTAACTATTGTAATCTGCCTGTCGAATACTTTGTACCCACTTTAAAGCAGTGCTTTAAGTGTGGCAGATACGGTCACGTATCTAAATTCTGTAAAGCTAAAGAGAGCAGGTGCCTTAACTGTGGTAAGTCTCCGAAGTGTGTAAATTGTGAGGCGATGAAGTGATTGTATTGTGGCTCAGGTGAGCACAACGCTCTCAATAAGTGTTGCCCTAATAGGGAAATTGAATTAAATATGAACAGGATAATGGCGATTAAAAATCTTTCGTATAAAGAGGTCAAAGAGAATTTTTCCGAAAATTATTTCGAATGTCTCGATGACATCACTTATGACGGCAATTTCCCTCCACTGGGCAATTTCAACCAAGGATGATAATCAAAATGCTAACAAAATCTTAACCTAAAATAAATACAATGCTGTCGTCAAAAGGAAATTGGTTCCTTCCAAATCTCTTATCAATTCACCCACCAAGCCTTCCCCCAATACACCCCCCAAGTCGTCTGGAACAAGCCTTCTTGGACCGAAAATTTCAAACAACTATTTGCGGTCTTCAGAACTTGAAAGATTAATTCTCGCGATTCAAGAAAGTATCCGTCCGATGATCCCTCACAATCTTATTAAAGAATTTGAAGAAAAAATGTCTGTCTGTGCTATTTCTTGCCCCGTTCGAGCATCCAGTACTGCGAGGAAATCCGCTGGGGTTCTTTCTCAAGTTTCAACATGATATCCTTTTTACAATATAATATTCAAAGTGTCCGACGTAACCTATCTTTTCTAGATTTTTACTTAAACTCAAACAAGATTGATTTTTGTATCTTAAGTGAAGTTTTTCTGAAAGATGAAAATTGTTTCGAAGTTAAAGTTTCGAATTATGGCTCAGCCACCAAATGCCGAAATGATGGCTATGGTGGTGTTAGTATATTAGTTAAGAAAGGTGTCAATTTCAGACGTATTCCCTATAACTCTGCCGTTGACATCATCATCATCAAAACCATCAACCTGAAACCGAATCTTTTCATAGCCTCATGCTACTTTCCACCCAGTCTCGATGTGCAAACCTTTCTTGATGAGATTCAGAGATTATGCGACTTTCTTGACGGTGAACAAAATGTGATTCTAGCTTGAGATTTCAATGCAAGACATCGCCTGTATGGCGATCAAGTCTCGACCAACAAAGGCAAAATCCTTGTAAATGTCATCAATTCTAGCAGTTTCAGTGTCTTAAATAATGGCAATACTACCTTTCACTGTAACCGGAGCGGTCGCACGGCGAGCAGTGTCTTGGATCTAACTTTCTCGAATTCACCTATTTTATCTTTCAACTGGAACACGTCCAATGTTTCCATTGGCAAAAGTCAGCACTCCCCCATTTTATTCCACAGTTTTAACAACTCCGTTAAGAAAATAGAAAATTTCATTTCACGGAACTACCTTATGGACCGTCTGTCTAAAGTTGATCTTCCTTCTGATTTATCATCAATTCAAAGTGCCTTTCAATCTGCGATCAGGTCTGATAAAACCAACTTTCCTGACATTGAGTCCTTCTCACCTAAACCTTGGTGGAATCCTTCCCTGTCAACACTTTTCCGCAAATACCAAGCGGCAAGAAAAAAAATGAGTAAATATGCCAATCCAGCCAACTACATTGAATATATGAAAACCCTGAAAGAATGGAGGTCTGCAGATAGGAAGACGAAAAGGACACATAGAGCTATCGCGATTAAAGAGTTGTGTGGTAACGGCAACCCACGTTCCTTCTGGAATTATATCAATGGTCATCGACATTCTAGTCAAAAATTAAGCGGTTGTGCTGTATGGAATGACAGTGATAATAAAAAATACTTAGATATGCTCAAGAGCTACATTCCAATTGTTAATCCTATTACAATGCCTTCAAATCCTTTTAGTAATATCAGCAACACACCCTTTTCATTGCATGAGCTAATGTATGTTATACATTCCAGAAAGAGAGCTACTGCTGCAGGTTGTGATGGAGTCAAGTATGACATGCTCAGAGCACTATCTGGAGGAAGCTTTAGCATGCTTTTGCATGCAATTAACAACTGCTGGTCCACCAACTTTATACCCTCTGATTTGCGTTGCATCAAAATAGTTCCCATTCCCAAGCCAGGTAAAGACTTAAATGGTTTAAGTAGCTTCAGACGAATTTCACTAATATCTGTATTCTTAAAGACCATCAACCTCATGGTTAAGGAGAGACTAACTGCTTTCCTGAAAACTAAGAACATTACTCCAGCTCGGTCTTACGCCTATCAAAAACGCAAATCTACGAATATGTGCGTTAATGAACTGTGTTTTCTCATAGCCAGCTTAAAAAAATCAGGGAAAATGGTTGTCATGCTCTCCCTGGACATCAGCAAAGCCTATGACTGTGTCAACTTGATTAAGCTCGGTAGAATTCTCCTAAACTTTTCGATTCCTCTCAAATGCGGCTGTGGATACTTAATTTTTTATCCAAGCGTGTGTTGATGATGGGTACCGAAAAAGTTGAAATATGCGGTGGTATCCCACAAGGCAGTTGTTTAAGCCCCATACTATTCAATTTATACGCAGCTTCTTTGCATGATCTTCAAGATGACAAAACTCACATTTTTCAATATGCAGACGATTTTCTAATCGTATCTGCGGACTCATCTTTCCCAGCAGCTGTCAATAACCTCTCGATGAAAGCGAACTTGTTTTTCGATGCATGCGCTGATCTTAATTTATATTTTAACCCCAGCAAGACAAACACTATTTATTTTGCCAAAGGTTCTAAACGTGAAGTCAGATTTCTTATCAAAGGTATCCAAGTTAATTAGGTAAAATCTCTTCGATTTCTTGGGAGAATTTTAAATGACAGCTTAACCCTTCGTGGGCATTATGAAAAGGCGATCAAAGATTGTCAGTCTGGATGCAACATCATCAAACTCATGACAAACAATCAGGTAGGCTTGCCTCCCAAAAATGCTCTGACCGTTTACAAATCTCTAGTCAGGTCCAAAATTGAATTTGGACATTCCATATGTTGCAATTTCCCAAAATATATTGAAAAACGTATACAAGCATTTGAAAACTGAATGTTGAAGCATTGTACTGGACTGACCCCCTCAACTCCTCAACATATTCTCAATGTTATATCTGGTGAATGGCCAGTTTCCGAAAGAGCCCTTTTTGCATTGCCAAGGAGTTAATTAAAGTCAAGATGATAAATCCTTCCTTTTTTCAGGAAATTATATCTCTCAGTGATACTGTCACTTGCAGCTATACTTTTTGCTATCAAAAACTTCGTCATATTTTTGATAAGTTAGATTCAATTCCCCCCTTGAATTTCATTACCAGCAAATGCAAAGTCTTCATGAACATTCTCGAACCGATCTCTACTTGAAAACAAAATGTCAACTTCTCTTGTATAAGGTTGTTATGCCAAGAAAAGCTCCTTTTTTATTACAACAACGGATATGATATATATGCCACTGACGGTTCCGTCGGACATGATGTATCTGGCTTCTCGGTCGTGAAACATCTACCTGAAAATACTTCGAGTCAAAGTGGAAGAGGAACTTTCCTCGACTTTTATTGAGTTGCTCGCCATTCGACATGCTATTAAGGTTGGTATCTCCGATGGTATCAGAAGGTTTGTTATTTTTTCTGACAGCAGGTCAGCTC